ATGTGTTATATATATATATATATATATATATATTTATATTACTTATTAGGCTATATAAAGCACTGTATGCTATTATATATAATGTATTCTGTATTAAATATCATGCATTCTGTATTACATATATTACATGCATATTGCACATTTGTGCAAAATATTTTATTTTAAACTGTAAATAATTAGCTTCTCTGTTTCCAGCAGAGGTGTTTGTCTCGCCCGGGCGCACTTTGAGAAACAGCCTCCTGCCAGCCTGCGCAAGTCAAACTTCTTTCACTTTGTGTTGGCTTTATATGATAGTCAGGGTCAGTCTGTGGAGATAGAGCACACTGCGTTTGTGGACTTTGTTGAAAAGGAGAAGGTGAGGAGATATGTAGAATATATGAAACAGTGAATTTGGAAATTAAAAATGATGAAGCCTTGCAAAGCAAAGCATATTTGTGTATTCATTCCTTCGATTTAGGAGCCAGTAAGTGAAAAAACAAACAATGGAATCCATTACAAACTCCAGTTACTGTACAACAGTGGTGAGTACTGTATAAAGTGTGGACTGCTTTAGAATATTCTACTTTAAGAAATGCACTTCATTTGAAAATACAGCTGTCCTTTGTATGATGTTCCGTATTGATGCTTTGTTATTAATTTTTCTGTCTTTTAGGTGTCAGAACAGAGCAAGATCTATATATCCGTTTGATAGACTCTGTGACCAAACAGGTAAAATAGTTTATGCACTTTAATATTATTTGCAAGAATATGTTATGTGTGTTAGCACTAAAAGATCACTTCAGTGAAGACTAAATGCTTAAATAAAAATCATAACTATGAAGTGATAATGTGAATGATATATAATTGACATATACTATATAATTTACCAATGTTATATGTAGGGTGTGTTGTCTACAGATCTTTTTTCACTGAAATGCATGTAAATACTGGCATGATACATTTATATATTTTCTTCTGCATAACATTAACCTGTCGTTTGCCTATATTACTATGACTCTTTCAGGCAATTGTGTTTGAAGGTCAAGATAAAAACCCTGAAATGTGTCGTGTTCTTCTCACTCATGAGATAATGTGCAGGTAACTTGTGTCAAACACACTTAACTTATGTAATCTCATGCAAACAGACACACAAAGTCATAAAAAAGTCTTACAAATTAGTGTTTATTTGCTGTAATTATAATATGCAGGGGGGTTTTTTCTGTTGATGCAGTGATAATTGTGTTAATCTATATATGTGAATTTTCAGCCGATGTTGTGATAAGAAAAGTTGTGGAAACAGGAACGAAACACCATCAGACCCCATCATTATTGACCGGTAGGGCAATCAGCTGCATTCTGTAAGATTATAAATGAATAAAGAAATGTATGTATGTACTATAATATGTGTAAGTACAAATAAAGGCAAGAAAAAGTTTATTGTTATTACTTATAAAGATATTACTTACAGAAATTGGGATTCGTCAGCTTTAAGGATAAAAGCAGACAGACAGATTGTACTCTTTCATCTCTCCAATTCTCAGTTTCTAATATTTTCCTCTTCTTACATCATTCTCTCAGTGACTCTTTTTCTCTATTCCCTGATCCACAAATACCTTTACATGTTTGCATGTTTTCTTGTTTTTGCATAGGTTCAACCTGAAATTTTTTCTCAAATGTAATCAAAATTGCCTGAAAAATGCAGGGAACCCACGAGAGACGCGTCGTTTCCAGGTACACACACAACTTTATACTGTATATTCACATCACTGATAATTTGTCTGATAATGGATCTATTTAATCAACATGAAATATTTAATGAAAAGGCTGTCACTTACAGTACTGAATTACACTTTAGAAGTGCAATAGTAAAAACTATAAATGTAGCCAACAGTTACTTTAATTCATTCAATTTATGTACTGTTTTTAATAATCCTTGTGCCACATCAAAATGTCCTTTTGTGCCCAACATTTTCTGCACTAGACTACTAGTAAAAATATCCTGTTCTTTGCAGGTGCTGGTCTCTACCACAGCCTCTGTTAAGGCCCACATTCTAGCCATTTCAGATAATATATTTGTCCATAACAATTCAAAGCATGGCAGAAGACCAAGAAGATTTGAGCTGATTGAAGGTACAGTAATTACAAACGTGCTTCTAATAATTCTATGATTACTAATGATTCAATTCAAAATCAAACGCACACAACTAACTATGCAATTCAAATCAGTGTGGTCACTGAAAGTTTGTTCATATGATAATGTGTAGGTAAATATACAGTAGAAGAAGAGTATACAATATTTTTTTTGATTGTTTGTGATTTCTTTTAGCATGCATTTGCTGTAGTTTATGTAGACCTATCTCTGAAGTGCAGTACCCTTACTCAGTGTATTGAGCTAACATTTGTGTGTTAATTTAGCTGAGATCCCCTGCATCAAGGCCATCAGTCCGAGTGAAGGTTGGACGTCAGGTGGAGCCTCAGTGATTATTATTGGAGATCAGTTCTTTGATGGTCTACAAGTGGTTTTCGGAACAGTTATGGTCTGGAGTGAGGTGTGTAAAAGTCTCAATCTCTGTTGCCAAACAAATTACTATAAATGTGACCCTGGACCACAAAACCAGTCTTAAGTCGCTGGGGTATATTTGTAGCAATAGCCAAAAATACATTGTATATGGGTCAACACTATTGATTTTTCTTTTATGCCAAAAATCATTAGGACATTAAGTAAAGATCATGTTCCATGACGATATTTTGAAAATTTTCTACTGTAAATATATCAAAACGTAATTTTTGATTAGTAATATGCATTGCTAAGAACTTAATTTTGGACAACTTTAAAGGCGATATTCTCAATATTTAGATTTTTTTGCACCCTCAGATTCCAGATTTTCAAATAGTTGTATAAAGCTTATTTATTCAGCTTCCATATGATGTATACATCTCAATTTAAAAAAATTGACCCTTATGACTGGTTTTGTGGTCCAGGGTCACAAATACATTTTTGTTTCATTTTTAGCTTCCTTTTTCCATTTGTTCATTTTTTGGACATCCTTCACCACAGATTTCCCACAAAGCTTTGCTAATTTTGGAAGGTGTGAAATACATTGTTGCCAATATATATGCCTTCAGTAATTTTGTTTTATATTTTCAAACAATGATGTACATGATGTACTCTCTCCACAGAGAGATTTCTGCATCCTGAGAGGGTGATGACTTTTTCCTTTTTGTTGTAGGTGATTACACCACATGCGATTCGTGTGCAGACTCCAACTCGTCACATCCCTGGTGTTGTAGAAGTTACACTGTCCTACAAATCCAAGCAGTTCTGCAGGGGACCTCCAGGACGCTTTATTTACACTGGTAAGAATTATAAAGTTTGGAAAAACTCACAAATTTTGCAATTTACTGTAACCATAGTTATACCATGGAATATTTTCCGTTTTTAAGAATATCTGAAAAGCAGATGTATGATTTTTTCCTGTTAAATAATGCCTTTTTTGGAAGCTCAGACAATCTAATTTGTTGTTGCTTGTCTGATACATTACAATTTAACTTTGAAAAGTGTTTCACTTTTAAGCTTTAAATGAGCCAACCATTGACTACGGATTCCAGCGGCTGCAGAAGGTGATTCCTCATCATCTAGGCGATATGGAAAGACTACCAAAAGTGAGCCAGAAATGCTTAGTTGATTTCTTCCTAAATTCTGTGTTGTCCATTTTAATTGTTCTAGGTTCTGTTTTCAATTTTTTATTCAATTGTAAGCCATTAAATAGCATGTCTAATAAATTTAACTGTCCAAAAGAGAATTTTTTCTGTGCTCATTATTTTATTTGACATTTCAAAATACAATTAAAAATTATTTTGATTGACAGGAGGTCTTACTGAAGAGAGCAGCTGATCTTTTAGAGATGTTTTATGGAATGCCTCACAACAACCAGGTCAACGTAACATTTAGATTTACTCAGGCTTGCTATCCCGATATGTTTGCTGCTGAAATCCAGAGTGGGAAGTGATGTAATTTCTGTGCATTTATATGTGTCTGACCATAGGAGATTATTCTGAAGCGTGCGTCTGATATAGCAGAGGTACTCCACGCCATCCCACGAAACCCGTCCCACACAAATTCACATGGAATGATGGGTGTAAACTCCTTTGATGCACAGTTACCCATGAACACAGAAATTTCACCAGATGTAGAACGAGGTATGTTGTATAAATGCATTTGAAAATGGTACAAATGCACCACAGCAGTGTGTTAATAAATGAATGTCTCTCAGTGTCTCTTTCAGTGGGTTTCAGTCGGAGTTCAAACAGTGGCTTCATTGCAGGCAGCACATCCCAGCAGTCTGAATTCAGCAATACCAATACGTGCATGAATACACACACACATTCACACTCTCACTCCAACATGCCAAGACACACACACTCAAACACACACCTGTCCATAGCTGGGCACACACAAACACACACACGCCCTTCTGTGTCAAACTTCTCTGTGGCCACACAGCCATTCTTAGACAGTCCTACAGCGGACACACAACACTACATTGGTAAGAACACAGCTTTCTCGCTGTCTGTAACTGTCAAGCATGGAGAATTTCTTAACCAATTTTTTTTCCCAAAAGGTCAACATTCAAAATTGGTTACAGTTGAATTATGAATTTATCTGAATTTAAGTTAATTTTAATTCTACTTCCTTGCATTCAAATTATGATTGCTGCACAACCCAGAATTTAATTAGCATTTATAATTAACCCAATTATACTTACACAAAATAACATTTGTAAATGATATTTGTTGTAAAAATCCATGTATACTATGGACACATTTCTGTTTATTTTTGAACATTATTATAATCAAGATATTATCAATCTGAATCATGGTCAAATTGCATAATGATCATAATAAATTATTTACACTCATCCTGAAGACATATATATATAGATATAGATAGATATAGATATAGATATATATATATATATAGATATTCGTGGTTCATTTAAACCTTCCTTGTCTCCTTTTCTTTCATGCATGTCTGTAGTGAAGCAAAAAAGTGCATTTGCTCCAGTTCTGAAGCTGCAGTCCTCAACAGAACAAGCTTCAGGTGTCCCCGTCTGCACGGTAATGGCACATGACATGCATGTATTTACACACAAGCTGCTCGCCTGCTCTTTTCGTCTACCCTATAATACCTTAAATTGTGACAGTACATAATGTACTGAGTGGCTTATTTATTCAGCTTCCATATGATGTATACATCTCAATTTAAAAAAATTGACCCTTATGACTGGTTTTGTGGTCCAGGGTCACAAATACATTTTTGTTTCATTTTTAGCTTCCTTTTTCCATTTGTTCATTTTTTGGACATCCTTCACCACAGATTTCCCACAAAGCTTTGCTAATTTTGGAAGGTGTGAAATACATTGTTGCCAATATATATGCCTTCAGTAATTTTGTTTTATATTTTCAAACAATGATGTACATGATGTACTCTCTCCACAGAGAGATTTCTGCATCCTGAGAGGGTGATGACTTTTTCCTTTTTGTTGTAGGTGATTACACCACATGCGATTCGTGTGCAGACTCCAACTCGTCACATCCCTGGTGTTGTAGAAGTTACACTGTCCTACAAATCCAAGCAGTTCTGCAGGGGACCTCCAGGACGCTTTATTTACACTGGTAAGAATTATAAAGTTTGGAAAAACTCACAAATTTTGCAATTTACTGTAACCATAGTTATACCATGGAATATTTTCCGTTTTTAAGAATATCTGAAAAGCAGATGTATGATTTTTTCCTGTTAAATAATGCCTTTTTTGGAAGCTCAGACAATCTAATTTGTTGTTGCTTGTCTGATACATTACAATTTAACTTTGAAAAGTGTTTCACTTTTAAGCTTTAAATGAGCCAACCATTGACTACGGATTCCAGCGGCTGCAGAAGGTGATTCCTCATCATCTAGGCGATATGGAAAGACTACCAAAAGTGAGCCAGAAATGCTTAGTTGATTTCTTCCTAAATTCTGTGTTGTCCATTTTAATTGTTCTAGGTTCTGTTTTCAATTTTTTATTCAATTGTAAGCCATTAAATAGCATGTCTAATAAATTTAACTGTCCAAAAGAGAATTTTTTCTGTGCTCATTATTTTATTTGACATTTCAAAATACAATTAAAAATTATTTTGATTGACAGGAGGTCTTACTGAAGAGAGCAGCTGATCTTTTAGAGATGTTTTATGGAATGCCTCACAACAACCAGGTCAACGTAACATTTAGATTTACTCAGGCTTGCTATCCCGATATGTTTGCTGCTGAAATCCAGAGTGGGAAGTGATGTAATTTCTGTGCATTTATATGTGTCTGACCATAGGAGATTATTCTGAAGCGTGCGTCTGATATAGCAGAGGTACTCCACGCCATCCCACGAAACCCGTCCCACACAAATTCACATGGAATGATGGGTGTAAACTCCTTTGATGCACAGTTACCCATGAACACAGAAATTTCACCAGATGTAGAACGAGGTATGTTGTATAAATGCATTTGAAAATGGTACAAATGCACCACAGCAGTGTGTTAATAAATGAATGTCTCTCAGTGTCTCTTTCAGTGGGTTTCAGTCGGAGTTCAAACAGTGGCTTCATTGCAGGCAGCACATCCCAGCAGTCTGAATTCAGCAATACCAATACGTGCATGAATACACACACACATTCACACTCTCACTCCAACATGCCAAGACACACACACTCAAACACACACCTGTCCATAGCTGGGCACACACAAACACACACACGCCCTTCTGTGTCAAACTTCTCTGTGGCCACACAGCCATTCTTAGACAGTCCTACAGCGGACACACAACACTACATTGGTAAGAACACAGCTTTCTCGCTGTCTGTAACTGTCAAGCATGGAGAATTTCTTAACCAATTTTTTTTCCCAAAAGGTCAACATTCAAAATTGGTTACAGTTGAATTATGAATTTATCTGAATTTAAGTTAATTTTAATTCTACTTCCTTGCATTCAAATTATGATTGCTGCACAACCCAGAATTTAATTAGCATTTATAATTAACCCAATTATACTTACACAAAATAACATTTGTAAATGATATTTGTTGTAAAAATCCATGTATACTATGGACACATTTCTGTTTATTTTTGAACATTATTATAATCAAGATATTATCAATCTGAATCATGGTCAAATTGCATAATGATCATAATAAATTATTTACACTCATCCTGAAGACATATATATATAGATATAGATAGATATAGATATAGATATATATATATAGATATTCGTGGTTCATTTAAACCTTCCTTGTCTCCTTTTCTTTCATGCATGTCTGTAGTGAAGCAAAAAAGTGCATTTGCTCCAGTTCTGAAGCTGCAGTCCTCAACAGAACAAGCTTCAGGTGTCCCCGTCTGCACGGTAATGGCACATGACATGCATGTATTTACACACAAGCTGCTCGCCTGCTCTTTTCGTCTACCCTATAATACCTTAAATTGTGACAGTACATAATGTACTGAGTGTGCAAATTTGACAGACTCATGTCTATTCTGTTTGTTTTTT